TCCTGTCCCACTATCATGCTCAGTCCCCACCAGGGTTTCAGCAATTCCTCTTTGTTACATTACCCTTGATCATGATCTATATAGGGTTCGTATGAGTCAGAATGGACTTCATGGGCTTGATCTGATCATCTACCACCTGTCTATCAGTTTGTTTACTGTGGTGGCTTGTACATGGCTGTGACTCTGGAGGTTATGTCACAGGTATTTTAAATACCAGCAGGGCCACAGGTTTCAGTACAGAGTTTGAACTAAGATCGACTAGGAAGACTTGTCTGAAAATTAGCAATAAAAATCTTATGGATCACAACAAAGTATTGTCTAATGTTGTTCTGGGAGTTGATACTCTCGGATGGAAGGCATGACTATTCATGGCCACAACAATGGGCCCAGGCATACTAATAATGGTGAAGAAGGCGCAGGACTGGGCAGCATTTCCATCTGTTGTAGACGGGGCCACTGACAGCGCCTGTTTGATCTTCATGGCCATACAGAGAAGGTAAGTCATACAAAGATGGCATTAATCACCGTAAAGAGGGAAAGCACTAAGATTCGCAAGTCGTTTTGTAACTTAGTCAACAGCACACAAATGATAAGTGACAGAATCCAATTATGAGCCCAGGGAATCAAGTAAATAAATAAATCCAAGGGTTTTTCTGCTTTATTTTGAGTTCTAAAACTCAATTTTTCTTCACAATTCAATATAGGAGACATTTGTTAACCTAGGTAAAGAGACATTTAAAAAAAAGTTATTGTCCTCACACATACTATGCAGTCTCTCCCATAATGAATGGCATGTACACATCAATGGAGCATTCACATTATTATTTGAAAACAGGAGTGTTTTGCTTTCAAGAACATAGATAGGCCTCTGAAAGGTTGGTCATAAGACCAGTTTTGGAGATAAAAATACTTTCTAAAGGCCTTTTCATAAATATGGAAAATAATTATATAGTAGTGAATAAATGAGTATATAAACTCGTACTATGTAAGTGCTTTTAATCACATATGGAAAGAAAATGCAGGTTTTCTTTGAAAATATTCAAAAACAAGGCACAAGGTGTTGATGCATGACTGGAAACTTCAGGTAGTCCTTTCAGACTGCAGTGACAAAGGGCAACAAGCATGCCCCAAGCAAAGCTATCACTGGACCTGAAGTAACTGTGCTAATTACAATGCCAAGCTCCTAAACTTTGACTCTGATATACAAGAGAGAAAGCTGATAAAACTAGATGAGATGGGCTAACTAGGCTTTTCCGAAGGAGAGTAAACAAGGGTGGGGGGAAAGCAAGTTTGTCGAGGGTTCTAGTGGGAAAAAAATCTTTAAGACGTTAGAACATCAGCCACAAACACATCAAACCAAGGGCTGTGGAGTTGATTCCTGCTCCGGTGACCTCAGGCCCCTCAGAGTAGAACTGCACTCCACAGGGTAGCCTCGTTGGGCGGCTAACCCCAAGGTTGACGGTTTGAAACAGTCAGCAGACCCATGGGAGAAAGAAAGGGCTTTCTACTCCTGTGAAGAGTTACAGTCTCAGAAACCCACACGAGCAGGTCTACCCTGTCCTACAGGGTCCCTGTGAGTGAGGATCGACCCAATGGCTGTGAGTTTGGTTCTGAGGTTTGGACATCTTTTCTGGAAGCAGATTGCTAAGTTTTCCTTCTGAGGTGCCTCTGGGTGAACTTGAACTTGCCAGCACCTTTTGGTTAGTAGCTGAGCACTTGCACCTCCCAGGGAATCCATAAAGTTAGCCCATTTTAGATAAAACAGGATGTTTTATCACCTGCGTTGTTGACTAATTTGAAGAGCTAACTCTTAAACACACACACACAGAAATGTCTGCTTTAATAATGAAACCAGGAGAGATATTTACTGTTTAAGTTTACTTCCAGAAATCTTCACATAACTATACAATTTCATTCAAATAAACATGGTTTGATGGATTTATCCTGCTCTTTCTATGGTTTTCGGCAAGTCTTCCCTTTATCCGTTCATCTTATTGAACTGCACAAGCAAGGAGAGACATTAAAAGCTTTGGAGGACATAAGTATATAAACTCAAGGAATTTGGTATGAAACTGGATGTAAGAATAAGTGAACATGGATACACACAACATGGGTATACTGGTGACCTTGGGAACCAGAAGTAAGATCATCATGAGGGGAGAAAGCTGTGAGTCTGAGGCCAAGGCCCATCCAGCTAAACATGTCTGAGTGAATATGAGTTTCTCTCTTCTGCTTCCCCAGAGGACAATAAGGAAGTGCAGAAAGGCAACAATAAAAGATGTCTACAACATTTTGACTATGGGAAGCATATAGGCGAGTGTTACATGACTGTGCAGAACAGAGGAAGCTGTGGTTTATGGCTGCAGGGAAGGAAGTGAGAGACCTTCATGAAGTTAGCCCCATCGCTGGCCTAACAGCTCGATTGTGCGGTGACACAGTAGCAGATTGGTGCCCTTTAAAGAGTTAAACCAAAGAGGCTGTGGGCCGGGAGAGACCAGGCACAGGGGAGGGCTTGGTTCTCCTGAATGGAAGTCCACATTCAAATTCTGAATAGCAAAATGTCTAGCTTTCCAGGCCATTAGGGGTTCAAAACGCCAGATGCTAGGTTTAAGCCACCTAACCACCCTTCCTGCCTTCAGGGAGATAAAGCATCACATGGCTCATGTTTTACACTAAAAAAGGTTCAGAGAAGAAAAAGTTCATGGAAGTTCAAAATAGTACAGCAGAGAGGAAATATTTCATGAAAAAGCGGAAGCTAACGTTCAGAAAGTGGCCAAGAAACCTTGGGAAACAACAAGATAAAGATCAA